AATTATAAAAAAATAAAAGATCTTTTATTATTCAGTGACCACGGAGGGGTCAAATATGTGGGGGGCCAGTGAGTACCAAAGGCACGATTTTTATAKGGGGGTCAGGAGGCATGCAAGGTTGACTCTTTAACGTTTCCAACTTGATGCCGTCACAGTATAGTCGTGCTCTGATCATCAATATTTATTTTATTTTTTATTTYAATCTTACCGATTTCATTTATTATTAATTTTTCAGAAGCAAAAACTGGGAGGACGCGGCCCCCCGTCTCCGTGGCCCCTATTAATTAAATTATGCTAGCACAATACCTTACAACAGTTGGATCACCATCCATTGTAAAATTCTCTACAATGCCACCTAGAACATCAATCTGCAAAAGAGGCTTGAATTCACCTATTTGATTAGGTTGGAATGAAATCAAGACATCCAATGATTTTCCTGGTTTTACGGTCCCGTCTTTTGGCTGTGTTTGGAAGTGTGCCACTCTATGCAGAGCAAACACTAGTGGTAGGCTTGCAGACTCGTTATTCACAGTACACAGGGCTTCTATCTGCTCATCAACTGCACATTCACCAAAATGGAAGGTTGGGCTGGGGGATATTGATAATAGTATAGGCAATGCAGTGCCAACAATGGCAACTTCTACTCTAAGACCTGAAACAAATTCAGCCTATTAAGCTCAGAATTGTTGATGTCATATATATTCATTGAATTAATAATTATTTTYAATTAATAATTAATAATAATAATTATTTTTTCAACATTTGGTTGTTTTTATACGCCACGTAGTTTCAAATACTCTTTTGTGCAAGCTTAGCTTCAATCAAGCTTAAATTTAATTGTATTCTTTATAGACAGAGTGATACATTACAATAGGATCTCTGCTGAATACTATAATTATGTTTTCTTTTTCATAGCTACATGTTAATATAAGAGTCCTGCATGTGTGTACTCACCACTATTTTCAGTTTTCCCTATCACMCCACTTATACTGCCTACAGTCTCAATATGCATAAACAAAGCAAAATCTCTCCTTGGTGGTGGCTTATCTGTCATTCTCCAACCTAGTTTAGATCTTGTAAACCTTGGACTGAAGCAAAAGTGAATAGTTCTCTTTTCACCAGGTCTGAGAATACCCTGACTAGGAAGAGCAGTGACAAGGCTTGTCAAGTCATTGGTTGTGCCTAGTTCATCCATAGTTGCTTGTGATGCTAATGTAGCTGATGTTGTCTTTGTTAAGTCAACACCCTAAGAAAAACATTGCACGTGAAATGACTGACATCAAGTTCTTTGTCAAGTAAAAAATGAAGACTAACGCATCTATTTTAATATACCGCAATTCTATGAAAAATTCAGGCCACAGCTTAAACTGTGCTATCAATGTTAATGAATTTACAGTTATCAAAAAAGAAACTATGTTATATTTAATCTATAATACCCATTCTTCATCTAGTAATTTAAATTGTCATGACTAAGTCATGATTTCAATCAATGACAAAACATTTAAAAAATACATTCAACTTACCACCTCCTGGCCTTCTCCATCTTCCTCTAAGATGACAACRAAGTTAGCCACATCAGGTCCATTATTGTGTATTAGGTAAGACTTGATTATATCAGTTCCATAGTAACCACAACCAAAATTAATACAATCAACTTTCTGTGAACCATCCAAGGTCATCAGTTCTAAAGACCTCTCAACCACCTGACCACATACTTCAAGACTGGCAGAAGGTTGACCTTCAAGTTTGACTCTATTAAAGAATGAACAAATCAGTTAATCTCATATCAGTACTAACAATGAAAAATTGATAATACTTAGATTTAAAACTCTAACTTAAGTGTCTGGTCTGAATCAGCTATCAAAATGGTCTACAGCATGCAATATGTACATATTATAATACAAATCAATATTCAAACACACATTTTAAATGGTCCTGAAGAATTTTTGAAAAGTTAATATATGAAAAGTTAATATATAACGCTTTGCAATTAGCATAGTTTAAAATACAAGTCGAGAGAGTGTTTTATCAGGTTTAAAGATTCGAGCCAAAAGGCAAAAATCTTTATACCTGATAAAACACGATCTCGAGTGTTTTAAACAGCTTAAAAAACTCCAACACTAATTTGAAACTCAAATCCGTTACACAATTCTTGGAGAAATTGCTCGGTAAATTTTTCTAGATAAATGGGGCAAACTGATCACTTTACAAATCACTCTTTTCATCCCACATTGAATACGCATAAAGTAAAATAGAAGTGCTGATGGCTGTTTCACTGCAATCGGTTGACATCCTGCATTGGTCAATGATCAGGTATCAAACCCGAGACTTTTTCTAGGATCATGGATCTTTATAAAGGAATATCAAGTTGAATCACAATTGTTAAAATAGCAGGGTAAATAACTAATTAAATGATAATAATAAGAATTTTAAAAAGATGACTTACTGTGCAAGCTCATGGAATGGGCCTGGCTCTTTGGAAACAAATTCCACCTAATAATAAATGAAAAATCCAATACAGTTGAGAAGTCGTGTTTTAGTTGCAAAGTCTTGTTTTACAGACTTGCTAAATACCTTAATCATTTGAGAATGCCCTGGTTTTACCACACCAGTTGTTGGCATGATAGTAATAGGTTTGCTACCAGAATACTTGATTTTAAACTCTCCACTAACAGCACCTTCATTGAAAACAGCTATCTGGCGTGAAAGGACTTTTCCATCAGCAACTATGCTACCAAAGTTTGCAGGGCCACTCAAACCCATTTGTGGACATGGTGCATATCTGCAAGTTCATAAATTAATCTAAACATTTAACTCRAGAAAATCACACATCTAAAGTTGACTAAATGCAACACAAGAGGAAACATACTCTGACAGTATACATGTATATGTACCATATACTACTTGTATTTCAAAGTGTATTTAAAAAGTACAGCAAGAATGAGAAACAACTTGCACTGCACTATCATTGCAGAGGTGGGTATCATTTTTGTTGAAGASCAAAATTGTTTTGGGGTGATCCACTTATTGACAAACTATTGGACTAGAGCGTCACGATCACAATTCACAATACACATTTATTCACCACAGTTCGGCMCATAATAGACCACTTGTGCCTACTATCGATTTTATATGATTGGCAATATTAAGGAAACATTCAGCACTGTCATATTGAAAAACTTTCAGAAATAAGTAATTGTACACAATTTTGAAGATATAGACCAGGGGTTGAAATAACGGCCAGACATTGCTGGACAAAATGTTCTTCCAAATTCATTTTTGGAAGGTCATGTCGAACTTTGAAAGGACAAAAACTATTATATTATMATTTTCTTTTAATTTATAGCTTTTTGTATTCAGAAAGATCRGTAAGCATTTTAATGGCTTGTAAAAGAAATTAGCAAATTGGGAATTGATTGTTTTTTTTATTACATGGGCTTCCTGTGGAAGACCATGTCTTAAAATGAGCGGATTTTCATTTTCTTTGGCCTTAAATTATTACGCATAATACAAAAAAGTTACAAAAGAGTTACAAAGGTACAAAGCGCTCTGTAGAGCGTCTAGTTTGTCTAAAAATGTGGAAGATCAATTTGTCCTTTCAAAACACGATTTGTCCGGTCATCTAGCGAATTTGGAAGGRCATTGTCATTTAACCGCCTGTTATTTCAAGCCCTGTAGACTAAATACACACGAAGTTGTGGAGGAATGAAAATACAAGGATTTGTAAGAAATTCTTTACTGGAGGCCTTGGTGGCCTCGTTTTGGTGTTTTTGTGCATCTTCCAACCCTTATAACTTCCAGAGGATTTAATATTTTCTTTAAAACTTTCAGAACTTATCTTTAGCTTTGATATCTATCATCTGAGTGTTTTCTTTTGTCAACATTATGAATTTAACAATAGTATGCTAATTAGTGTCGGCCATTGTGAAAGCCATGTAATTCTCAGACACAAAGCTATAAAATAGCTAAGTAAACACAACTTCTCCTCAGCGCCATCGATATCTCGGGAGTTCAATTAAAGCAAACAATAACTTCAACAGCTGGGACTGGACTAAACTTCAACCTGAACAGCCAAATATTAGCCAGTTTAAACAAGGCAAAGGGACAATTTCTTAAAAAATCTGTCTGAGAAAGAAATTTGTGTTTTTTGTACATTTTTGTTAATCATTTTAGTAATTAACCTAGATAACAAAGAAACTGTCAATTGGTAAGTGTATCTATGAACAACAGATGTGCAGCATCTTTCATATTCTGCATATTAATCAACGTGAATTTAATTCAGATAGTGTTAACGTCAATGAATGGAGTGCAAGAAAGAATACAGTCCCTTTGATTGCCAGCCGCGTAGAGCTGAAAAATTCTACTACAGAGTTTTCATTGTTTCATTTTAATATTAACTTGTGTTTTCGATAWGTACGGGCCAGCACCTTTGTACAATCATTTTCAAAATGAATTTGGAGGATCAGCCAGTCTTCTTTACTTGCTTTGACTGAGCAGTACGACGAATCAAATTATAATTGACTTTGCAAATAGAATTCTAATGTGAACGATTTATGAATACAGCTTTCTTTTTCTTTAAAACTAATTATTTTTAACTTTGATTCTTGACAACCAGGAAAGAGAGCCTGTACTTAAAAGACAAGTCTAGCCGCAATTATGTAACATTGGTACACTAATTCAGAGGTTCTAATTGGTTCTRATTCAGAGGTCTGAGGTTCGAGACTCAGAGGAGCTGACATTTCTTTATATACTGAGAAATTTGGATTTACATTTTCTGTTCTCGCTGTCCTGTCTGCAGTAAAGTAGCACYRTCTATGCAAATTAGTTTTTATCGGACATTTTTACAAGTCTTCTCGTAGATAAGCCGCACCCCCGATTTGGGAACAATTGTTTTTGAAAAAAAGTGCAGCTTATACATGGGTAAATACGGTACTAGAAAACAATAAGAATAAATTAATAGTTCTGAACAYAAGTAACGCAGACTCAGGTTTACGGGAAAGTGAGTGACAGATTCGTCCCCCTCCAATAACTCTTCGATTGCTTCGCAATCTTCGAGTTAAAAATGGTCTACATCGTTTGATATCACACCAAAAGCTATACATATCAATGATTAATAAAAGAAATAAATATTTTAATATTTATTAAATAAATAAATAAGTACAGTATAAGCATGAATAAAATATAAATAGGTATAAGTATTGGTACATGAATAGAAAGAAAAAGAATATATAATATAATGAATGAACTTAATTTGTGTAATTATTAAGATGGGTTTGCAGATCATGTTAAATTGTTCTATTGAGTCTAACTCAACAAGCTCAGTTGGCAAACAATTCCAAAGTCTTATAGTTCTGAGGGATAAATGAGTAAAATTATGTGTTCTTTATTGCCTTATCTTGGAAATATTCAAAATTGCAGCTTTCCTCCGAACTTTCTTGAGGGAGGCAATATGTCCTTCTGGAGATTAGGGTCCCAGGCGGCACTTGCATATTCCAGCATGGGACGCACTATAGATGGTGCATACTATCTCAAGGAATCACTTCATGCAAATTTCAATTCCAGGAAAAATGATTTCAAAAAGAAAAAGACTRTATTATATATTTCAGGGATTTTGAAAGCCAGATTTTGCCAATTGCCACCTTCCAATGAAATCCTGGCTCAAATTTAAAAAAGGTCTGAAAAACAAACATAAAGTAACAACAAAAATCTTTGCAACTTACTGTAGCAGCATAATATTATTAAATGAAAAAATTGCCCCATACCATTTCTTAAAAAAATGATCTATGCATCCCTTACATGTAATTTCCTAAAATAGACTGGATTTATTGAATATGTGACATTTTAAGGAAATCTACATTTTTATAATTTTCAGTAATTATAATCTCTGAAACTATAAGTACTAACTGCATTTTACAAAAATGAAAATATATTATAAATAAAATCTGAAATATAAGTTAAGCCCCCAATTACTCCTGTTAACTCAGGAAAAATGCTCCAACATCCCCTTATCTATTAATTTGAGAAGAGTTGATTTTGTAATGATTTTATAATGAGGCGATGAGTATTATAGGTTATATTGCAGATAATTTTAGCAAAGAAATCCTTTTTATAAAAAGAAATATAGTTGTGTTGACATGTTTTTCATGGACCTCTGCAATATTTTTATTGTATAGCTAACTTGATTGCAGAATTTCAGTTAATAATATACTTACGCTACAACTGGCACCTCGATGACATCATTGTCTACCGTAAGGATTATTCTATCCTGTGCATCTTCATTTTCACTTGTGAAATATTCAACCAAAGCTGACACTTCTAGTCCAGGTGCAATGRSATGGTCAGGATTTTTGACTTTGACTTTAAATTTCTGTAATATAAAAAAGGCCTTAATACTATGCAACCTGTAGATTAGTATAATTTGATGYGCAAGTGATTCACTTTGTAAGGTTAAAATTGTACTTACACTGGTCGCTGGACCATGATAACGAATATTTCTTGAGCATTTGCTAAGATTTTGCACAGTTAGAGTCATTTGATGAACAACATYTGTCTCTGCATCAAAAAATTCCACAACTGGTGGAACAATTCTAACTCCAGCTACAGTGCCTTCCATTATTTAATATATTTCCGATGTTGACTTGTTCACAACGAAAGTAAATTGGAGCAAATCATACTAAAAGTACGTTTTTGAAGCCGCCATCTTGGTTTTTAGTTATAATATA